AAGGGGAGGAGTTTAAAAAAAATCGAATCTACTTCCCCCTGTTTCAAAATCCTAACTCAGCAACCGGATGGTGGTGTTGATCCAGAGTCTCTCCAAAGCCTCCTCAGTATTATAAAGTTGCTTTGCTTGAAATCGTACTCATTGTCCACTGAGACATCCAAACATGTGAGGGGACTTGCTCTATATTATCTTTTAAACTCCTCCCCTTCGAACGAGATCCAAAACCTACTTCTTGATGAGGATATTTGTACCAATTTGATCTCATCGATGATATATTTCCATGATTGGCAAGCCCTTCAGCTGTATTTGCAAAAGGTTGTTGCGGAGCACGATTTTCAAGGTTGGTTCAACCAACATGTTATATTTGAATTCAAAAACATCATAAGAAAGCTCCAATCAATCCCAAGGTTTGTGAACGAATGCATCCCTTCCTATGTGCTTTTACGTGAAGCGATTTCCGCGAAAATCGGCTCTCCAATCGACATCTTGCAAGCACAAAAATTTAACCGCGATGTGGAGCACATTTTAGCGTTGCTAAAATCGATTTTAAAGCTAGAGGAGGATCCCACTGTTTTGGATCTTCGGTCAAATTCGTCAAAATTATTTCCCCTGCTAACGGAAGATCAAAAATGGATTATATACAATATTAACTACACAGACTCTCTTTTGGATTTCTTGCGGAAACAATTTCTTAAAGATTTCGAGAGTTAAAAGTTGGGTTTAAAATTTGCTTAGAAATAAATAAATAATTAATTAATTAATTTATGCAACCACTCTCCTGCTTGTCACTTGGCAGGAACCTTACTAGAAGATGCACAAGGGTTCATTTAATGTTGGATTCGTGCCAAAATTATTCGAAAATTAAAAATATAAAAGAAAAAATAAAAAGTACCTCCAATGATGACGGTGAGAATCTTGAATATGGGGACTCCGATGGCTATGAACTTGAGGGCGATGCATCATCAAGCTTTTCAGGCAGGAATCTTTCATTGAAGAAATTGGCTTTCTTAAAGGATCCATTGGGAAAGGGTGTGGATAACTTCAATTCCTCTCATCTCAATGAGTTATTTGAGTGTTGCATCACTCATCTAAGTGCCGAATTGGGCCGAATAAGAACTGGTAGAGCAACGCCAGGTACTTGTACCAAATAATGTATAGCGATGTTGGAGGAGGTCTCGATAAATCAGAACCTATAAAGTCTCCCATTGAAAAGTATTGCCCAAATTGCAGCGAAAGATGGGTTTACCCTGCAGATTAGACTATATGATGAATCGGTAAACTTTATTGCTTATCCGTAGTTTTCTAAGGATGTCGTAAAAGCTTTAAATGCGGTTGATCCACCTTTTGTTGTACATGTAAAAGATCCGATTACCCTTCTGGTTCCTATTCCCAAGCTGGATGATACCTCTAAAGCTATTCTCTCAAAGCAGGCTAGCGCTATTGGAGAAAGATGCAAAATGAAAATACGCACTTGCAGAAGAACTGCTTTATCTAGCTGCGATTTTGTGTCAAAGGAGGAAATAAAGCGGCTAGAGAAGGATATTCAAAAAGCACACGATAAATTCATCGAAAAAATCGACAAACTTGTCATGCAAAAGAAAAATGAAATTAAATTGGCTTAATTTTAATAAAATTTAATTTTTTATGGACTTGAATATACCGATTGGAACCAAGGTTCCGCTACCCTTTTCATGGAAAAAGGCTGTTGAAGATGAAAATCCGCAAGCGGTGAGGTTTACAGAGTCGGAGCTTATTTTACCCGATCAGAACACAAAGAATACCGCTTTAGGAGATGAATGTTCACCCTCAAATGTGTCTGCGCGGAAGAAAGCTTGTAAAAATTGTACTTGTGGATTAGCAGAGGAGATTTCATCCGAAATTAGAAGCACACCTAGCGTTGAGGTTCCAAAGGGCGGATGTGGATCTGTACATATGGGTTAGCTAATTTTTAGTGCTATCTTGGAGATGCATTTAGATGTTCCTCTTGCCCTTACCTGGGGCTTCCAGCATTTAGGCCTGGAGAGCAGGTTAAATTGGACCTGTCCAACGATTCCATTTAATAACACACCTAAAATTATTTAAAATTTAATTGACCCAGGTCTTCGATATTGTAAAATGTTGTAAATTCTTCCCATTTGGTCAGTGTCTTGATGGGGGATGCTGCATTGTCCCAGTACTTTTCAAAAGAGTTTTCGTTCCCAACAGACAAGCTGCTGGGAATTAAATCGAGTAGATTTGGTCTTTTCTTATTGCAGATATGGCCATGACGCCTGTTGTGCTTGTGGCTTGCGGGTCTTTCTCCCCAATCACATATCTGCACTTGCGGATGTTTGGTATGTTATGAAGACTCACAAACATAGAAATGGCCATGGATCGGATGAATGATTCTCATCGATATTACTGCATTGGCGGTTACTTTTCGCCGACAAACGATGCGTATGGGAAGGTTGGATTGGCTCCGGGAAAGCATCGTGTAGAAATGTGCCGCTTGGCAATGAAGGATTCCACCTGGATTATGGTGGATCCTTGGGAAGTTCTTCAGCCATCATGGGTTCGGACCAGCATTGTTTTAGATCATTTTGATTATTTCCTCAATAAGAACAGGCCTGCAGAGCTGGCTTCTTACCCAAAGATCAGAATAATGTTACTGGCCGGAGGAGATTTAATCGAAAGTTTTGGAACCCCCAATCTTTGGTCCTCGGAAGATGTAAGCATCTTGTGTTTGACTTACGGATTTAGCTGGAGAAAATTGTCGGAACTTACGGGTGCATGATCGTTGAAAGGACATGTGTAGATGTCAAGGCGTTTCTGCTGTCGCACGATATCCTGTATAAAAACAAGGTGCTGTCAACACTGCTAATTTTGGTAGGATAATGTACTGATCGCAAAGCAGTATATTTATAACGACATAAATTCAACCAAAATCAGGCTCTTTATAAAGCGAGGAATGTCAATCAAATACTTGCTCCCAGACTCTGTGATCAGCTACATTATGGAGCACAATTTATATCAAAACAGCGGCACATCGACAGCGCTCCCGTTGACCATTAAAGATGCAAATCCTTAATTTGGCATTACTTTAGAATCGTAGGACCGATTGGTGAGTACATCCGCTTTAATGTTAAAAAACAAAAACAGGCCCACAGGGTTTCAAAATCGAAGATGAAGAGGCGGGCCAGCCTGCGCTTGAGCTTTCCTTTAAGATGTGAGATATCATCGGAGCTGGTCCACACAACAAGAGCTTGGCGCTATTACAAGGCTTTGGGAGGAAATCTCTAATCAGAGCGTCAGTGACGTATCCAAAGCTTGAATTTGGGATTTTTAGAGAAGAATCAGGCTCCTCAACGACCCAGTGTATTGAAAACCGGTGTTTGTGTGTTTTTTGCAGCTCCTCGAGTACATCAAACAGCAGCATGTCTTTTTTTGTTTTGTTTGCAAATACCAGCTTTACCACGGTAGAGTCGCGTGGATTTTTCATGATAAAGTCGATGATCTAACGCTAAATTTGCCCGCTTTTTACCTGCAACATTGGAGTAAGCCCGGACCCCCCAGCAACCATACCAATCTCCTTGTAGGAGTTGGCGACGTAAATGTATCTTCCTTTGGGCTCTGAAACCTCCACGCTATTGCCTAGTTGTAGGCCACTGAGATACTTTGAAAGCACACCTGTGTGGTAAGTCTACTCGGGAATAAGAAAAGTAAATATTCCTTGATAAGAAGCTGCATGGTTCCATTTGAATAGTCGATGGTTAGGGGGGTGTAGTTCCTTTGAACCGCCTTTCCGTTGATTTCTGCCCGAATAGAGATATGCTTAAATGGGCAAAAGGCAATCCTACCTGCCCAGGCTTGAGTGCGTTGACCTTGTGTGGACCTGCAATTTGAAATTCGTATCTGCAATTTAGCAAAAGCAACACCCACATGTTTGTATTGTGATTGATGGCACGTGTCGATTTTAGGATAAATTTCTGCCAGCATGGCCTTTTTGGTGGCGCGAACAATTTAAGCAATGCAAAAGAACAAATCAATACAAAAACACAAACTGCCAAGTGCACCCATGGAAAGTTAAAATCAAGATCCAGATGCAGCATTAAAATAAAAATTGGTGTTTTGATTTTATCACGCGCAACATGACAATGCACGAAGCCATCTTGAATAAAATTGATGAGGCCAAGGATCTGGTAAACGACATTTTTTATTTACACAAAGGTATCGCATTTAGATATGTTGATTTTAGAAAAGATGCTTCTGTCCGAGGAAAACATACATGCGATGCTGGAGGAATGTCTGTCTTTGAAAACGCAGCTGTTAAAAACGAAACTGCAAACGCTATTCATTGAGCTGAAACCGCCCAACTTTAAGCTGCTTGATTCAATGTACACCCTGCACGGCATACACGTCACTTTTAGACCGCTGACGCTGGCCATGTACATCAAGCAATCCTTGCAATCGATTTGCCAGAACCTTGACTTTATTGAGCGAAGGGAGTACTCCAAAATAGCCCTTGAAGTGTATTTTGACTCGCGATTGGCAAAGTCAAGGTAACGCTCTACTTTTCTGTTTTTCAGGTTTTCCCAGATGATAGACCAAAAATCACCGGTGTCAATGGCGGGACAGAAAAAAGCAGAGCCAAATGCGGRCACCGCATCCATCAAGGACGCCCAAGATGAGCAAGCTCACCAGAAAACAGCTACTGGAGAGAAAATAATGGTAATCGGGGCCATTTCAAACTAATATTCCAGAGCGAAATAGAAAAGCAAGACCGCAAAATCGAGGCGTTGGCCCTTCAGGTCCGGAAACAAAAGGAGCTAAGCATCATGATTCGGAACGAGATATTGGAGTCCAACATTCTTATCGACTCGATGAGTGATAAAGCAGATCGGACGCGGTCAAAAATCGGAAATCTAACATCAACAACCAAATTTGTAAATAAAAACTGGTAACCAGGAATCGTAAATTTTGGCCCGTATATTCAGGCAACTTTTACAGCGCGTGTCCCGCATCGCCAAACCACGCACACGGCAAATATGTGGCCCATTCATTTGCCATCAAATAGAGCAAATCGAATGGCTGGCCGCCAAAAGTTGAATTTGCAATTTTTTAAATTACTTTTATATTCCTCTAGCTTGCTCCTAATTGGATGCCTTCCGATTTTAATGCAACATCATCCCTCTCCAATTCATCATTGTTCTCGGTTTCACCACAGTCGCTGTCGCCATCAGCATCCTCAACATCGGCGGGAAAGCAGGTGCATCCGGCTACCTTTGTTAAAAAGCTATATCTGATGGTTGATGATGTGTCCACCAATGCCTATATTCGATGGGGATCTGATGGGACCACCTTCATCGTCTTTTATCCAGAAGAGTTTGCGCGCGAAATTCTTCCTCGCTTTTTCAAACACAATAACTTTAGCTCCTTTGTGCGCCAGTTGAATATGTATGGGTTTCACAAGGTGCCGCATTTCACCGTCAATCAAATATCGTCATTTGATAATCCGGTAGGGCCAAGTGGCGATATTTTTTCTCGCTCATTATCGCTTTCTTCGTCAACATATTTGACTAGCTCTTCGTCGTCTTCCTCATACACAAGCTCCTGGGAATTTTCACACGAAAACTTCCGTCGCAACCAAATGAACCTGCTGTTGAACGTCCGTCGGAAAATCCAGCAGCCCAATCACAATAATAGCAATAGCATGTCCCCATCGTCGACATCAAATGCGCTATCAAAGCCCATATCAGACGGGGCCTTTGCGGGCCCAATTATAAACAATCCCAACCCAGCTGTTCCCTCAAACTTTTACAATTTATTTTCAACCTCAGACATATCAAATAGACTGTTGGAATATCTCGCCTATACTGCTGCAGCCTCTGCGGCTACAAATACGGCGGCCCAGATTTCCAACGCAACACAACCGCTGAGCATTGGCGCGGCACCTCTGAAAGATGCTCAAATCAAACCGGAAGGAGCGCAGGAATGTAATTTTGCTGCTATTTTTTCTGAATTGACCACCATAAAGACACAGCAGAAGCAAATACTTGAAAAGCTGTCTCATCTAGAAATTGACCAAAGTCTGCTCTGGCGAGACTCCATCAAATGCCAGGATCGCTGCAATTCCCAACAGGAGCTTATAGAAAAGATATTGCGGTTTTTGGCCTCCGTTTTTACCTCGGGCGACAAGAAACTCAAGGAGGGAATCGCATCGCTGTTTCACACGCTAAATCATCTTCAACCGACTTCGATATCGACCAATGCCACTGCATCCTCGACAAGTACGGACACTAGAAGGGAGTTTGATAAGAAAATTGGTGGGCCCGAAAAAGAACTAAACGACCAATGGCTATCTTCTGCATCCACATATTCATTTCCCTCGCCATCCCCTGCAGCAACAGGCATGCACACGGATCGGCAATACACTAAGCGGCAGAAACTGCTGACAAATGGAGGAGAAAATAGCTCTTTAGAGGCCGATGTTAGCAGCACAAAGAGCAATCGAGACATTTTAACCACCACTCCGCTGGAACTGATCCAGGACTCAAAGTCCACCGCGTCTAGGAATTTCTATTCGCCATGCTCATCGTATCTTCAATCTCAGTTTGGAGCCAACAATGCTGAAACAGATCCAAGCGATTTAGAGAACTTGGTGGATGCTGAAAACCCGCTTGACCCCGATTTTGACTTGACGTCTTTTTTAAATTCGGAAATCGCCTATTCCGAGGATTCATGGCCCTCTACAGCCACGTCTACATCCACATCTACACCGACATCCACATCTACGCCTTCCCAATCCAAATCAAGCTCATAATTATAAATAACCGTAAGAATTAGCCCTCCTGACCAATATAATGCCATGTTATCAGCATTTGATCCGTGGTTATAATTAAATTAATTTAAATTTCACATTATTTGTAACTGCTAGCGTGACGTTGTCATTGTGAGTCAGTGGTGCATTAATCAAGCATAATCGAAATCTCGAGCCAAGTGGCCTTATTAATGCCTCAATTACTTCGCCGGTTTGTTGTCGCATTAATTCCCATCATCTGTATTGTGCTGGTCGCGCTCATTGCACTCCTATCAATATTCCATCGACTTAGTCACGACGTGACATTGGAGCGAAGCATGGAGACTGCACTAGGGATAGATAAAAGACACCTGGATATGAATGGCACCAGTATTCTGCAACAAACATCGTTACCTGAAAATCCAATTCTCGAATTGTTAGAACAAAATAAGCCAATGGAAATATCGTCTGTGTGGCAGGCGACCCTTTATTTCTTTGGCCCCATATTGGGTGCGATGTTTATATTTTTCTCAAAATATAGCACAACCGCCATTCTTTTTATAATTACGCTGTTGCATATTCTATTTTTGATGTTTTAATTTGTTTATCCGAGCTTATGATGACAATCAACTGGTTGCATCGTTGTACTTTTTACTTGGTTTTCACATTAATTTTGGCGATCATATTGAAACGAATACCGTCGAAATCTTTTCGGCCTGCCTTGCTTCGCCGTTTAATCAATAAACCTTTATTTATCCTATGTAAAATTCGGTCAAAAGGTTGCAAGGGAATATAAAAATCGGTTGGGGGTACGACCGATCGGGATGCCAGAAACTATCCCATTGGTGCACGTAATTGTCAGGATAAGCTTCAGCTGAGAAACGGTGAGAGTGGGATTCATTGAAAGAAGAAGAGCGACCACCCCGGTCACATGAGGCGCAGCCATACTTGTTCCTGTCATCGCCGCAACTGACCTATTGCTTCCAATAAAAGTAGAGGTAATATAAGAGCCAGGTGCAATCATATCAACGCATGAACCAAAGTTGGACATGGCAAACCAGGCATTATTATAATCAGAAGCAGCGACAACGATCGCTGATGTCGAGGACGAAGGTGAATACATGCATGCATCGCTCCTGGAATTTCCGGCAGCAGCAACAACAGCCACATTCAAGGCCTCAAGATCGCTAATTGCAGCATTCAAGGCTACGGAAATGGGGCCGCCAAGCGACATGCTATTATATGTGTAAGAAGCGATAGTCTCACTTGATCACGGATGGTCTTTTTGTCATCTTTACACGGTTATAAACCCAAGAAAGCGCTGCAACTACAGTGGCCCAATCGGAGGTTCCGCTCGAGTTAATCACACGTACGCCCAACAAATTGACGCTCTTGGCAACTCCATAGGTTTGAGAACCAACAATGCCTTGGTAACAATTTAGTAAAATGAGAAATACCAGCAACATGCGTGCCGTGACCATATGCGTCGGTAAGCCCGGAATTGGTAAAGTCAGCTATAGTAGTAGCATGCCCTTTAAAGTCGACATTTGAGCTTTGGATACCCGAGTCGATAATGTATGCATCGACACCGCGGCCATCTGCAAGGTATCTAAACAACTTAAAGAGGGTCTATACCGATAGATGGATGGAACTCGAAGCATATGTTCTGAGATTCTTACAAGATTCCAAGGTGCGTTTGTTTGAATAGCAAGAGTACTAACTTGTTTTGAACGTTCAATCCAAAATATAGAGTTCAAAATAGGTATCAAAAATGAGAGTTCTGATGGAAGCCCAACTTGGGGCATTAAAATATTAAATGGGTAGTTTGTTTGGTTGACAGTGGGGTTCATTTCAATTTCATTTGACATAGCATCGACAACACCAGAAAATACGAGAACATTTGGTGTTCGAGGCACATCATAAACCAACCCAGTAAAGTTGGTAAAGTTGAGGCTAAATACAGGCTCAGGGGCCCTAGATGGCCCCAAAGCACCTTCCTTTGCCAAATCCTGGGTATCTTTGAGAAAGAACGGGGAAGAGGTGCCAAAATCTCCTCGAAAAAGGATAATGAATCTTTCAGTATCCTCGCAACGAACAATTACGAAAATCGCAGATAAAAGGCATAGAAGTAACTGTGAAGAATGAATCAAATAGTGCAAAGTCATGCTAGCAAAAAGTTTCGGCCAGCATATCGGCTATTTGAAGGTGAATGTCAATACCCGAAAATGGACGTACCGCCACAATAATCTGATCGGCGAATTGAAAAATGTAAACAAATTCGGCACTTTAAATTCATGGTCCTTAATGTGGAGGCGCTTTTGCGCTCCCTCCCTCGACCGATTGCATTACCCATGGACAAAAAGACCTTTTCCTTCACCATCCCCACTTCTGCAATTTGTGTTGCTCCTAATGATATCCAGAGCGTTAAAAACGCACTGAAAGAACACGCGCTTCTATTAGATCTTCCAAAAATAAAACCAATCATCAGAGATCCAGCAGATGCAAGGCTTTTCATTTTGTTGAACGATGTCTACGCAAAGGAAGAAATCCCGATTGAAAATTCCGTCGTCCACGAGTATAACCTCTCTATAGACTACTCCTATTGGACTGTGGCACAAATCATTGATGCCATTCTCCCTCCCGACCTAGATCGTATCACGGCCTTTGAAACAATTGGCCACATTGGTTAGCTTGAGATTCTTATTCGCGTTAGCCCATTTGAATTTGACGGAAGCCCACATGCCATATGCAAATGAAATTGGCCAGGTTATTTTGGACAAAAATCCGTCGCTCTCCGTTGTGGTCACAAAGCTTGGTGAAATCGACCACGAATTTAGGTTCTTCAAAATGAATGTGATAGCGGGCTCGCCATCAAATCTTGTTACCACGGTGGTAAGATTTGTCTTCAATCAACATGTTAGTCAGAATCGGATTGCAGATTTACACTGGACTACTCGCAAGTTTATTGGAACTCTCGACTGGCACATGAGCATCAGCGTTTGGTGACGTCCGTTTTTAAAAGCGGCGAGCTAATTTGTACGACTTTTCTCTTATTCAATAGGTGATATGTTTGCAGGAATAGGTCCATTTGCTATCCCTGCGGCAAAACGAGGCTGTACCGTATATGCCAATGACTTGAATCCAGTCTCCATCAAGTACCTTACACAGAATGCCCGTCAAAATAAAGTAAGCCAAACCTTGCCTAACGAAAGGTCGAGCATGCCATTAAAATATTCAATTTGGACGCCAAGGAATTCGTCAGGGAAGCTGTCAATATGCTTCCTAGGAACATTCATTTTGATCATGTTGTGATGAACCTACCCGCCTTCTCGTTGGAGTTTATTCCAGATCTTGTCTCAGCACTTCGGGGAAAGCAAAGCTCGCATCCAAACAAGCCAGCCGATGATCTGCCACTCGCTAAAAAGGCTCGCGAATGCGCTCCATCCTCGTCCACTATTATCCACTGCTACTTATTCGCACGGACTGGAGAAGATCCACTGCAGGTAGATTTCCTTTCGATGATAATTTCGATAGATGATACTGGATATCATTGGGCCTCTTCAACTTTCCCCGCCTACTTCTGCTCACAAAGTGAGGACAGTCTCACCTTCAAAAAGTATGTATTGTGTCTCTTTCAGTCTGTCTCATTAATAAATTAATTAATCAAATAAAAATTTGCAACTTCCAAACCATAGTAGGCAGGCCATTTCGACCGTTACCATTGGTGTCGACCTTGGCTTATGTCTTTGCGTTTAACAGCTATATGCGGGCTTCACTTATAAAAATTGTATTTAGTTAGAAGCGGAGTTTGGAAAAGAACCACTTGGAGCCGCCAACCTTGTATTTCTCCTCGAGCTTCTTGCTGACAACGGTACAAGCACTCTTGCGCTTGGAGGCATCTGAGGCGACATCCAAATTCACTACATTTTTCAAATCGACGTCGATGGAATAGCGAGTTGGCATCAGATGGTTATAATTGATGACTTTGATGAAGGTCTTTACACGGGAGCGGTTTCTGATCTTTCGCTTTGACATGGCCTTGGTGACCTTCATTGGGGCCTTTTTGATGCCAACGACAAGAGCGTGAGCAAAGGACCTGCTCTTGGATGCTAAAAATTAGCAATCAAATCAAAGAAACGAATGGCACAAAGACGGAAACAATATGCCACGCAAAAAGGATGGATGAAAAGATGAATTGACTTACGATTTCCCTCAAATGGATTGACAATAAATGCCTTGTGACCAGCATAGCGACCATTGAGAAGAATCACTACTTTTCCTGGACGCAGGATCTTTATGGGTGCTGTCTGGGTCGTTGCATTGATCGTGCTTGCCACAGCAGGGGTTTTGCTGGGTAGAGCTGCCGGTGTCGCGGTCTTTGACGAAGACATGGATAAAAATGGAATTAAATTTAAAATATAATTAAATTTGAATTTTAAATGCCCAATTATGCAAGAAAATCGGTTGAGACTGACTAACGACCGTGTGTGCAATCAAATTAGCAGCGCTTAAATTTTAACGCGTTCATTCCCAAAACGCTGTGAGTGATTAATCAATGTGTTTCCCTTTCAATTTTGTAAATTTTATCCATGAGTCAGCCCAACATCAAGCGAGACCTGAAGATGCTAGAAGAAACCAGGAGTATTACCGTGTGCGACTATGTTTCTTCCGCAGAGCTTTTTAAGATTTTTTCGAGACTGGGAAAAAACTTGAAATCAAAGGACGTTTGCAATTTGCTCTGCAGCAAAATTTTTGAAATCCTAATATGGGGGAGGGGATCTTTACCGAAAATGCAGTATGCAAACCCGTGTGACGACGAACCCATATATTTGGAACACTGGGATCAAGTTTCGCTTCTTTACTCTATTTTGCAGCGGATTATCAAAATCGGCTCTTTCGATATTTTTACTTCAGACAACATATCAAAGGTCAGAAATAACGCGCTTATTGTAGTTCATTTCGTTACTGCAAAGCCAAGATCCCAGGGAGAGGGAGATGATTAAGCACTCTCTGCTTTTGATAGTTGCAAGCAACCAGGAGGGCCTGATAAAAGAAATAATGCTTTCCTCGAAGGAATACATTTCTACATTTGTGCGGTGCGAAGAAATTGTTGAGAGAATAATTTCCATGCAGACGGAAATGAGATCGATCGCCAATGCTTCGTGGTCTCATAGAGGGATTAACGAAATCCTTGATGTTTTTTGCAATATTTTCAAGCTAAATGACAAGTTGTTTTGGGTGTATTACGATCCGAAAATTTTGAAAATGCTCATGAAGGTGGATAGAACCTTGCCTATTTATGGGTGCTCGCTTTGCATGCTCTTTCAAACCATATACCATGAAAGAGGGCTAGATGGGGAGATGATTTGCCTAGCTGGCCAGCGCCATTCGTTCTACAAAAAGCTTTTCATACTTCAGATTCTTGAAGGGAATGTCAAAAGAAATTTCCCGATCTCTTCGCTCTTGGTCTTTCTATTGGATTCACTGTCTTCGGAGCACTACTTGGTAATCGAATGCACGTCGCTTTTCATTTCCAGAGAATGCGTTCTTTTCCACCTGGAAGGCGAAAATGAAACTTTTCTCATAAAAACGCTGATTGCAAAGCTTTTAGCTCTTGAAAAGCAAACACATATACCTTTGCGTCTAAAATCCTTTATTTTGGATGCGGTTGAGCGATTGATTCACAGACTGATGGAAGAAATGGGAGCAGCTTCTCTCCAAAACACTCCCACAGCGCCTCAGCGTGAGGTTTTCCCTGTTGGTCCGGATTTTTCTTGAGCCATTTTCCGATGGCGGCGAGCAGGGCATGCTCCAATTTTTCTTTTTCTATGCCGCCTGCCATTTCTGATGGGGACGAGCCCTCCTCCAATATTTCTTTGATATTGGGGATGATGAAAGCCTCAATGGTATCTGGGCCCAGAAGAGAAAAGGCCATGATGGCCCCGTATTTTGAGGGGAATCCTTTTGTAGGATCACAGATGGCCTTGAGGAGCGTTTTCAGGACTCGAGGCTGTAATTGGGCGTAGGCATCTCCGTATTTCTGGCAAATCAGAATGAGGAGAGATGCGGCAGCATCTCTTAGCGACCAATGGTCCTCTAGGGATCCCTCTGAAAGGCGCTGGCCCACCACGAGCGTAAGCACAGTTGGCATTACTTGATGCAGCTAAAGATTAATCATCAGCATTGCCTACATAGGGTTCGATAAAAAAATTGATGTTGGCAAAGATCGCCTCCATTGCGCGAAGCAGGAGTCCAAGAGTCTCCAGATGCCGCAAGTTTTTTATCACCTGAAAGTCAATAAATGGAAAAAAGGAATGTGGAAAGGTCGGATGATAGAGGGGAAACGATAAAATCGGAAAGGCACTGCACATCAATTGAGGAACAACAAACAAACACAAACCATTTCGGCAATGAATTGCACAAAGTAGGGCAGCAGCTGCTGGATGCCTGCGTCTGTACGCAAGGAATTGAGCGCGGTTATCACGGTGGAGGAATCTTTTGAAAGAAGGCAGCTTGTGATTGTCTCAAAATAAAGTTGATGTTCTTTTGAGAGGTGATGCTTGACCTGTGGCTGTGGTTTCGATTGCAGCTGTGCCGAGGACGGAGGCGTCGAAGCAGTTGGGGAGCCGTGTTCCATGGACGACGCTGTTGAAAGAGGAAGAAGTGGATTTTCTGGAATTTGGGGCTGGACTCCTTCAATAGCGAGCCAATGGCAGGAGAGCTTCATTGAGCAGGGAAGCTTTGGAAGCGCGGCCGTCAGAAGGGTATCAAAATCAATCTCTTTATCTTTGAGGTAAAAGATATCAGACTGCGGCACATGCTTAAACGCGGGAATTTCAGAAGGGTCGTAGCCATAAATTTGCTGCATAAAAGTTACAATCGAGAAAATACCTCTTCGTTTCTCAGGGCAAGTACCATGTTGATGTCCTCCGTGGTAAGGCGGATTCTTCGGGAGTGGCGCATGTGCTTTGCAGACTCCTGGATAAGCTCTCGTAGGCGATACTCTGTATCGTGTGCTATCAGTTGAAGGACCTCGTTGGACAGATTGGCAAGGCCCAGAGACTCTGCATAGATGCGCACACTCTCCGCATGGAAGAGACTCATGGAATTAAATTTAATTTTTACGGCACTCCAACTCCATTTTACGGCGCTCCAAATCCAGTTTACGGCATTCCAAATCCATTTATTGTCGCGGGAATCATTCTATATAGCGCTAGTGGGCTTGAGTATGGGGACAGGCTTGCCATGGCTGGCAAACGTGTTATACCCCTCAACAACCTCATCCCAATTGACGACATTCCACCATTGCTGGATGTATTCATTTCTCTTGCTTTGGTATTTGAGATAGTATGCATGTTCCCAGACGTCCAAACCAAGAATCGGAATCATCTCCGTTTCCACAACGCCCTTCATTAACGGGTTATCTGCAACACGTGAGCTTATTATATTGTCACAAAATAGAACAGCAAGAGATGGGCATGCATGTGATACAAAATCATATCAGAGCCGTGAGCTGACAGCGTAACCAGCAAGACTTACCTTGGTTGGGTGTCGACGAGATTGCTAGAGTGCCATCGGGGCGCACACCAAGCCAGGCCCATCCAGAGCCAAAACGTGTGAGAGCAGCATTTGTAAAGTCGGTTTTCATTGCATCCAGAGATCCGAACTCGGAGTCAATTGCCTCCTTCAACTTGCCAAATGGCGCCGTATTTGACGCTCCAATTGGGGCCATCCATCTCCAGAACAGAGAATGGTTGTAATGGCCGCCGCCATTATTGCGAATAACCGCAGGCTGCTGTTTGATTGACTGGAAGATGGACTGCACATCGATATTGGCTATCTTTTCTTTCTAAAAAGACCGATAGCAAGCATATGGGTTACCTCGAGGGCATCGTTAAGTTTGGAGACATATGCTTGATGATGCGCCGTGTGGTGCACAAACATGGTCTTATTGTCGATGTAGGGCTCCAGCGCATCATATTGATAGGGGAGTTGAGGCAGGGAGTGTGACATGCTAATTGCGGCAGAAGTTAAAACTTCAACCCGCAAACTTTAGTTTAAATTACAACCGCAACTTGCTATTTTTAATTTAATTTCAATGCCTGAGGAAGAGAGCACTTCGACCACGTCATCATCGTATCGCCATCGTGGTCCTTTGAAGTGCTACAACTGCCATGGGTTTGGGCATAAGGTTGTCGATTGTGTATCCCCACCACAAGTCAAGTCATGCTACTCGTGCGGCCAGCAAGGCCATATCTCGAGGGACTGCCCAACACCAAACTCCAACATTTGCTATCAATGCCAACAGCCTGGTCATATTTCACGCGAATGTCCAAACGCTGAAAAAGGCGCTTCAGGGCCTTCCTCCTCGATCACGTGCTACAGATGCTCTACAAAAGGACATTTTGCCCGAGACTGTTCTCTTGATAAGGCCAGTTCTCTCTGCTATAAATGCCAGCAGCCAGGCCATATTTCTCGTGATTGTCCAGTTTCATAACGCGGGAAATAAAGAATTTTAACCCTAAAGTGTCTTAATGAATTTGAGGAGCGGAAGAGCAATGTGTTTGTGTTTACTGGAAATTATTGGACACCGTCCGTATGTACATAGCAGCTCTACACTATCGGGGGTTCTGAATTGAGTGGAAAACTCATCCCATACCCAACACTAGTGTAAATAAGCAAACGCGTACGTGGAAGCTATTGGAAATCCCCATTTTAAGGGATGGTCACCGAAAACCTGAAAATTATATCAAAAAGCAGGGATGGCATACCTGGGCCCAATTCCTTTCAGGACTCAATGAGAAGATCTCACACGGGTACGGAGGTGGAAGCTCGTTGATATTCTTACCAAATATACAGGGAAGCGAGCCAGATTGCATTGCTTCGACCGTTGTCCGATTTATGGTAATCAAATAAATATGCAGAAATAAAAGAGTCGCAAGCAAAAGAGAAAGAATTCCAAAAATTCCGCCAACAACAACGCGAATGATGATGATGGCGGAAACGGTCCCTTTGCTCAACTGTACTCCTGAAATAATCAAGAGGGAAAGTGATACTAGCAATAGCAAGGCAAAGCTGTATGCAACGAAGAGAAAAAAATATTTCTGATTATAAAAGCCAATGCAATTCATCACCCATGGACAATGGTGATCCATTTTCAGGCGGCATTTGCCGCATTTCCGACAATGCCTGCACCGAAGGACCTTTGGAAACGAGCAAATCTCGCAATATCCGTGGAAGGGAAACTTAAATGAATCGAGTTGTAAATTTTCGGTGTTCTCCCCAGCCACCATAGATAAGTATGTAGTTGGGGGATACCCGGGATCTGTCCGTGCGGTTTGAATATACGACCAAAGCGAGAGCGCAAACAGAGGGATCCCCACGCAAAGAAGCACTATGCCAAGAGCCACATTATTCCGATTGATAATCAAACTGATTACTAAAATAAAGATCAGCCCCCATTTACATACAGCAAAAGTCTACCAAAAAAATATAAACAACAGCACCACTGACCAATATGGTCAGCAGAAGCGAAGCAATATTTTCCAGATGCTTTCTCATTTTAAAATACAAGGTAAATCTGCGGCTGTTTGTAAACATTGTATTTCAAAAATTGATAAAGCAACGCTACGTTGCCTACGGCCATCCCACCCACCGCGCCACATCGACCTTTACACGAGCACAATGAGAGGAAGCCCGGCATGGAAGGGATAAGTTGGAAAGTTTAATTGATTTTAGCGTTTGGGGGATGCGTGGCAGCGGCGAATGCATCATAAAGATTGAAGGGCTTGAATAGGGAATGGGCCCCATTGCATGTCCCCGCCTCTGATGGCAAAATGGATATGTTTTTCTCCTCTTCCAAATAATATCGCTCAAGAGCATCTCTGGCCGCCTATCATCATGAGAATATTACCGATCATACCCGAGTCTCTGCAAGTGTAATCGAGCTACCGAAGGCTAAAAATAAGACCTACAACAGTACCTTCTCCTAATTTGACGGGTCCGCAATAGACACCAACAATGTAAAGAGGCTCGTTGCTCTGCCTTCCAGTTTCTCCTTCCAATCTTTTAAGGTGAGCACAACACAAACGCTTACCTATATACAGGCTTGTCGTAGCCCAATCTTCGGGCCAAAATAAATAGCGAATATCTAAATGGTAAAAGATGGGGCCATTGAACCTGAAATCCCTCAAGGGATACAGTCTACTTTTGATGATTGTGGGTGTGCTTGCAGGGGCCGATGCTTCATTCGGAGATGGAATAACCGAATAAGAGGAGGTGCCATCGATCGCGGCAAGAAAGTTAAATCTCAAAAAGGGAAGAATCGAGTTAAACGACTAAAAATACGGAATAAAGGGGCCAATGTGAAACCTTTGTGCTGACGATAAGTGCACCCAAAAGAGCAAGAAGAGACTTTCTGGACGCATCTGCTACAAAGGCATCGTCAGGCTCGCCAGATGCACTCGATGGATCCAAACAAACAATCGCCCGATGGAGCGAGAATTTCATGATTATGGCATCCAAAATAGGCGAATCTGTCATGATAGAAATGGCGTTGATGGTGTCTGGAACGCTCAATTTGGGAAAGGTAATGTTTAATGCCTCCGTGATGAAATACTTGACGCTACTTGCACCTAAAGTTAGGGACTTGCAATACCGATGAAGAGAAGGCCATTAAAGCGATCCGCGGCCTCTGATGCCGACGCCCTTCCAGGAATAAAGGCAATGTGGTCCAGTGCAGACCTTGCAAGAAAGTGATCAATAGAATCATAAATGCCCATGCGATGCAGCAGGGCAAACTGGGCCGGCTCCAAAACTTGCTTGAATTCGGCGGCTTTTTGAATTTTTCTGTCGCCATTTTGATCATCCATTTTGAGGATCGAAAAGAACTTGCATTTCAGTTTGTGCTGCACGGTAAGCCTTAATTTTGGCTTGACGTGGCACAGCGAAACCAGGGTACGACAATTCATGGTTTTAAATTTTTTTACAATTCATTGCAAATGATTTGGGGGTTTTCAAGCAGCACTTTAAATTTGCGAGATGCTTTGGCAAGCGTAACGCCGTCTACAATTCTGTGATCGGCGCTCCAACAAGCCCTTCCCATCATCTTTCCGGTCGATTGTTGCTTCACTGCTCGCGTGATCGCCACGATGTCAACTTGCGGATGCAGTATTCTGGGCATGGCGTTTGCCGGCATTTCGTAGCGCAAAGTTTCTTGATGGCTACCCTTTTCTGAAAAGGCCGCGCCAACATTGGATAGCGTGATGCATGCATTTTTGCTGTTGGTTTCATGGACATTGAGATGATTTCGCCTTGCCCTGGGGATGACGTCTTTGTGCAATTTTACGGAAAGCTTATCTAATGTCATGGTGTCGATTTCCGGAATGATAGGGACCACCAAGCCAAGTGGCGTGTCAATGGCAAGCCCTATGCTATTTCCTTCGTTTGATTTTTGGACATCTTCATCCACAATAATGTGGTTGAGCATCGGCGTTTCCTTTACGACCTTGCTTAATGCTTTGAGCATATAGGCAGAGACAGATATGCCCGTTTCGGCTTTGCACTTGAAGAGCAGTGTCATATCCACGAACTCCGAGTATGAAAAATGAGGAATCGAAAGCGATTTTTGCATTTGCTTAAACATGGCCCTTTGAATGGGCGTACGATGCACCTTTGGAGCAAGGTTTTGTGCCATTAGGTCGGCTTCCAAGATGCGCCCATCATTGCCGGTGCCTATGGTTTTTTCCAGGTCAATCTTTAGCGTTTCCGCAAGATTTCTGACTCTTGGCGTGGCAAGGATTTGCGATTTTTTTATCTTCCCCGGGTGAAGATCTTTTGTATGGCTATCGTGATCAATGTTCGTGTCTTCCAGGGACGTTTGCTCTTCATCGACATCGATTGAAAGCAAAGGCTGGCCTGTTTTGACAGTGTCCCCCTCAGAATTATACACCTTTAAAATGGTTCCGCTATATGGGGACGTTATTTCGGTGGTTGCCTTGTCGCTTTGCACTTGGGCAATGGTATCGAATTCACATATTTTATCTCCAACCTTAACGTGCCTGTTTGTGAAAAGGAAGTTCATATGCATACCAATTGCTTATTTGTACCTCTGCAATTCCCTCCCCAATGTCCGCAAGGAGGAAATCCTTGGCCGCATAATTTCGCATACATTTGCTTACGATCACATTTAATTTGATCGATCCGTTGATGGCGAAACGGAACATTTAAAAATTGCAGTAAATTTTAATTTTAAATGATGCAGTGTAGCATTTTTGAGCAGCAGAGGAGGGCTCTTGAGACGATAGATCTTACTGAATATCTGATTTCGGAGCTGCTGATGAGAAAGCAGAAAAAGGTATGTTATTTTTTTAAGCGTCAGATCCATGAACAACTGGCACAGGAGCACAGCATCAGGCGGCTTTTGGACAATTCCTTAATTTCGGCCGATTTTCTTATAAAGTCCTTTGGGCTGCAAGATTCCTCCGATTCTAACCCCTACATTATGGAAAGGGGTAAAGAGCTGTCTTTATTGGAAACCAATGTCGAAATGTCGGAGTTCTATTCTCGTCTGCGGACAATTAAGGAGGACCTTCGTTCGCATGCAGACGAGCCCGCAATGCCTCTTATGGATGAGTTGCTTGCCATTAAAGACATCGAGATTGGTATGCATTTTCGGTCTTATTTTTAGGAATCGAGGCAATGTTTTCTGGCGATGAGGGCTTTGGTCGATTTTTGGATCTAAATGCATCCCACTTGGAATTTGTTAATCTGAAAGATATCGGCAATGTCGATTATCTGACCTATTTGGATCGCATTTCTTCCTTTGAAAATATCCCAAAGGAGACAAAAAAATCCTCTGCCTATCTAAATTATTTGGAGGATTTGTCAACCTATTTACGAAGCTTTATTTTGAGGGCCAAGCCTCTGATGGATGTCGAATTTTTGCATTCAAAAATAAATGCCGAGTTTGTGAAGCTGGTCCAAAGTGGGGCTCTTCAATTTACATCGGCATATTCATGCTCCGTATGTTCAAGATCTTTTGAGAAGGAAACCGTTTACATGGCCCATCTAAACTCACCAAAGCACATGAAAAAGGCTGCACATGCCTTATCTGCACATAAAACAGAAAAGCTTCCAAACCGCGATGAGATCACTTCAAAATTGGAATTTCATATCCATTATTACTTTGATAATGTGTTGGCATTAGAGCTGTCATCTACAAAAGGAAATATTGAACGGAAGCAGTCCAGCACGATTTCGGAGCTGGACTCGCGCCATCGCCATGGCATGACCAATGGCGATGACGACAATGTCGAGGAGCTAGATACAAATGCTCTTAAACACGACCTTGAAAAGTTTGAGGCACAACTAACCAAAGCCCAGGAAGAAAAACTATACAATCCACTTAAATTGCCGCTTGGTTGGGATGGAAAGCCAATTCCATACTGGCTGTACAAGCTACATGGATTGGGCGTGTCCTATTCTTGTGAAATATGTGGCAACTACATCTATATGGGCAGGCGCGTTTTTGACAAACATTTTCAAGTATGCTTTCACATCCACTATTTATCTTAGGAATGGCGCCATTCTTACGGAATGAAGTGTCTCGGAATTCCAAACACCAGGCATTTCCAGGACATCACTGCCATTGCAGATGCATATGCACTATGGGAGAAAATTAAAAAATCCTCAAAGGTAGAAACTTTCAAGTCCGATACGATGGAGGAGTTTGAGGACTTTGAAGGAAATGTCTATAACAGAAAAACCTTTGAAGATTTGCACCGGCAGGGCTTGTTATAATAAAGTTTATTTTTATGTCTTGTTTGATACACTAGTTTCCAAAGCTCAAATGCATAGCCTTCCGTGCAATCATACTTTTGGCATCATTATGCTAGCATGATCTACCTTGGAGGTGTGACCATATTATATATGGAGGAGGGAGGATAACAATCATCAAGCTAGGGTTAGAGTCAGGGTTAAATTAAGGATATTAAACATATTGGCCAATGGACTGTAAAGAAGAATATCTACTCGATGCTGATTGGCTGTAGTGACTAATTTAGCCAATGATAAGACGAAGCGTTACTCATAAATGATATATTAAATTAATTTTCTTTTGTCATCAATCAGCTATAAATAGTTTGGCTGTCGTTGAATAAACCTCTTTTTTACTACCATTTAAAGGATGTCTTCCAACTCTACTGAACCACTACCAATTAGCACAGAAATAGAAGATAAGCAATTCGCAAGCCAAACCAATCTCAATGGTGTCGTTTTGAGAGATCTTTCGGTCCCAAAAAAACGTGGACTTCTGCTTAGGATCATTCCCTTGGTGTACAAATGTGGCGGTACAGCACATTTGACTCAGGTGTACATTGATAAGCTGTGTAAAATTTTAGACCTTGAGGCAACGGTGAGCTTTCTCCCTGGTCGCATTCTTCTTACATGGCCTACCTCTGGAATAGGAGAGGAGGAGCTTTCCCTGCCACACGTTTCTTTGTTGAATGTAGCTTTTGCGCTTCAATGCAGGTGGGGATTTCAGCTCTCAACACTGCAAAATTTGGCTGATCTTATAGAAGATATGCATAAGAATGTCAACTCGATCCTAGTTGGCGATGTAATTGTCCGTCTTACAGCGATCGAGAAGGAGCCTCTTCCATATGGAAAATATGGTCTTTTACTTGGCTTCGGCTTTATGGCAGCCCCTATGGCTCCTGCTTTCTTTGGCGGGTCGCTTTTGGATGGCGCCGTTACCCTTCTTATCGGCTCAATTGCCGGTGTATTTGCGCTGCTCTCAGATAGCCTCCCAACCATGCTTCTCCCTTTCCACGAAGTTCTTTGCTCATTTGTCTGTGCATTATTGGCCATATTTTTTTCCGTGCTTTCACATGGAACCAGCCAGCCAATTTCTTTCTGGCCAGTGATCCTTGCTTCCAATATTTGGATTCTTCCCGGATTTTCACTTGTTATTGCCACGATTGATATTCTGTCCAAGGCTGGCCCAGCCCCCGGGTTTATCATGTTGTTTGGCTGCTGCTTCATTGCAATCATCATGGGCATCTCTTATTCAGTAGCCATTTGGGTTACCGGAGTCGACCCCAACCAGTACCTTAGGTTCGCGACAACCCCAGAGCTGAAAGTAGACCTCGGTACTAGCATCATTTTGGTTTGCCTTTTTGCTATCGCGTGTTGCCTTATTTATCAAACTCGGCGTTCGCAATGGATTCTTGCAATTGTCTCGACGGTCTTCTGCTTCTTGATGATATATTTATTTGAGGAGGTTCTTGCATTTCCAGACGAACTTGTCCACTTTGCTAGTGCTTTTTCTCTCGGTATCTTTATGAGGTCCACCTGCAAAGCTGTCAGGCAAATCCCCGAAGCCGCGATGTACTGTGCGATGCTGCCCCTTGTTCCTGGTTCCCGAATTGTCAGAGCAGCCTTTGCTCTCCTTGCAGGCCTGCACAAGGCCGACTGCTCTGGGGCAAATACCAACTTTTACAGAACTCTACTCGGCTCCATCATCATCGGCATCATAGTTTCATTTGGGCTTCTCATGTCGGAGATTGTCTTTGAGAAGATCATTATGCGGCTAATCAAATACCCTGAAACGCACCCTACGTCTGCCATAAAGCAGCAGCCACAAGATGAGGCCAAAGCATGATGCCTTGTTTTTTCTTGGTCTGAAAATTAAAGAGAAAAATATTTTACATTAACGCACGACATGTTAGTGACGACATGCACCATCAATAAAATAGCTCATTTTACATATGTGTTCAACCTGTCTGTGTTTTAGGTGTGCACATAACGTTAAGCGATCCATTTGATGCTAGCCGCCAGTTTGATGCTTTTTAATGCAGCGCTTACATGGGGCAAGTTGCTGATGATACATTTTCTTCGCAAAAGAGGATTAAACAGCAAGAAATTTGCGGATTTTAATTTGAATGGACCGCCTTTTGGTAAAGTTTGGTGGAATCATGAGCTCGATAATCGATGATATTCTCATTCCGCTTGTAATTTATTTTGTCAAACTGGGACCTGTTCCTAAACACATCTCGTTTATCATGGATGGCAATAGAAGATGGTCCAGACAAAAAAGAGGTTTTTTGGCTGGCGATGCCGACGGTGTAGGCATTGGCCACCTTAATGGATATAAAGCGTTGGAGAAAGTTTGTCTATTTATTTACGCATTTACTTATTCCAGATCCTCAAATGGTGCTTACTGCTTGATGTCGAATGCGTGACCCTTTATGCATTTAGCATTGAGAACTTTAAGCGATCCACGCAAGAAGTGTCGTTTTTGATGTCTCTTGCGATGGAAAAATGTAAACTATTGTCCATGCACAGGTAATGGGATATCCTTTTATTGTTTAGCTCGCTGGTTAAGGAAAAGTCTGTCTCCATCCGTGTAATTGGAGACATGTCCCTTGCCCAGGAAGACATGCGAAATCAGATAAACGAGACCATTTCGATGACAAAAGGCGGAAAGCGGATATTGAACATCGCATTTCTATATACAAGTACAAATGAGATTGAACGTGCTGTGTGTCAAAAGACCTCAGCAAAAGGATGTGATGGGAAAATAGATGGCTTTTTGGATACGGCTAAAGGCCCTCCCTTGGACTTATTGATCCGGACATCAGGGGAGCACAGGCTTTCTGATTTTATGATGTGGCAAGTATGTCGTTGATGGTCACTGAAATTGTAGATCACCTCTCAAAACACGCTTTTATTATTTGACGACACCCTGTGGCCAGATTTTTCGTTTTTGAATTTAATTTGGCAGGTACTTCAGTACCAATATTTCAAATTTAAAAGTACCGTTTCAGTAAAATAGCGTGGCAAACCAATAATAATCTAACAGCGTACAACATTTTTAAAAAACGGATATTTATTAAATAATTAAAAAATTGATGTGATGTCCATTGGCAGTATGGTTCAATCCCTGATCGATTAAAATATTGACACGAACTCTAACATGTATCTAAATGCTTCAATGACAGGGGAAAGGAAATCTATAAGCGAAATAAAACAGAATTGTGCTTTTTGTAGATAAACTTGGGTAATATTAGGCAAGAGAGGAGATCCACATGTAGTTGTGGCACGAATAGCGATTAGAAGCCGTTTGATACGTGTGCTCATATCTATAAAGAAGGGTTGTAAAGTACTTAAATACGGGTTCTTGACTAAAGTGTCAAAAAGATAGTCCATAAAGTTTTGTAAAGTGCATAAAACAGGCGAAATTATGTAAGAAGCCAAGGGAAGCCCAAAGGTATCCCTTAAGAGGCCAAAAAACGAAGTATAAGTTGTCAAAAGAAAAGGATAATTTATCAGGAAACCTTTCACAAAAAGCTCTTCTATAAATGTAATTATCTGGTAGAAATAAGACGAAAATATATTCGGCATCGGAAACTTAATGATATGGTTAACAGGGAAAGGCAACCGGTCTAAAATTACAGGAATCTCAGGAGAATAGTTCCATCCGTAAAAGTAGACATATTTAAGCGAAGGAAAAATAGACGTGTTGTTCAAAGATTTAGTCATCACAGCGTCAAGCATGTCACAGAAAGGCGCATTATTGAATCCAGGACGCAGTAGAGTGGAAACACCGAAAATACTTGTATAAAACCTACAGAAACACTCCATATGGATAAACACGAGGAAGAAATACCAGACTGTTGGCCAAAAACGGGTCAATACAAACACATAAAGCTGCTTAAGAAGATGCTTTAGGATGCGTAAGATGCTCACACGAGATAGCGTGCATGTAAAGATGGAATGTTTAATTGAGCATATGGTCTTATATGATGGCATAATGGATGGAATGCATGAAGTAAATAGGGAGAAGCCGTTGAAAAAATCAACCAAGGTTTTATGGATACAAAAGATGTTCTTTGTAAAAGCCAAAATGCCAATCACATTGCGATCTGCATCCTTTTTTTCAGATGAAACGTCTGTATTATCAACAGGGCGCTCCATCTGTAGCCCTTTATGTTTTTTGTTGGTGAGAATGTTGGCGACGCCAGGAATGTGTTGAGATTGGACCTTTCTTAGATCTAAGTCTGGATTTGATGTCCGATTTTGAGTTTTTAAGGCAGTATTGCTATCACAAAAGCAGCCATTGATACTAGCCACTGCCAACTCGAGAAACAGAAGTTGTTTTTGGAGCTTACTCATAAAAAATTTAAAGGCCAATCAAAAGCGTAGTTTAATCCTAATCGGTATCACACACAATTTTAATTAATGTCAAATTATTTAATATCATGCGCTGAGTTTGTTAACCCAAAGCTTTACAAACACATTGAGGTACTGCCAATTAATAAAACAAATTTATTAAATACAATGCGGCCCCAATTCAATCAACCAAACCAAGACAACCCAAACACCAATACAATCACAACAGCCCTGTTTCTTTGAGCGCCCTACTGAGAATTGCTTCCTTAATGGCGGCAAACACGGTTTCTATTTGCCGGGTATCTGTGGCACAGGTAAAATGCGTATATATTGGCAAGCCAGAATGGTTTAAAGCAAGAAACTTTGTCTGGATAAAGGTGGCTGCATGCTCAAAGTCATTTGGAGGCCCGTCATAATCTTCAAAGTAGCTTGAAAGAGGAGAAACTGCAAGCTTGTTCTTGAATAAATCAATCTTATTCAAAAATAAAATGATAATCGTGTTTTTGAACCACTGGGAGTTGACAATGCTCTCAAATAGCAAGAGGGAGTCTAAAAATCTGGATTGAGAGGGATCTTCTAGCAACACCTGGTCATATTCCGAAAGCGACACGCAAAACAGGATCGCTGTTACGGATTCAAAACAGTGGATCCACTTTTTCCTTTCCGAGATTTGGCCCCCAACATCGATCATACATACAGAGGGGGAGTAGTGGCCAGATCTGATTCTAAAGCGTGTTTCTGAAATGCCTGTTGTCTTGATTCGTGCGCGGAGCACATCTTGAATGGTGGGGATATATCCCGGCATCGCTATCCGTTCAACATTATCCAGAAAGTAAGGGGCTTGGCATAGGATATAGCTCGAATGCGCAAGCTTGTCAAAATGCTTTCGCAACCCAGTCGTCCGCCAAAGCAACTTTATTGCATCGGCCATCGGCCGATCAATGAGATCCCAGTTTCTTCCATTTGCTGCTGAGAGGACAGAGGCCGATGATGGAGGGGGAGTGCCTCCATTGCTACCTATTCCAATTCGGTCGCAAGCGGAGGTCTGCGCGCGCAGTATGAGGGCGACTGCATTTTGAAAAGCAATCTTTTCCTCCATCGAATATTTACGTCGATGAAAAAAAGGCGACACATCCAGCCGATCAAGGTCACAAATGTCAATAGACAAGCTGGAAAGAGAGGCCAAAAGCTGTTGGATGGATTCCAGAAGATTGCGATGAATATCCCTCCTAAAGGCCAGTAGCTCTGTCTTGTGATATCCGTTATTATGAATCACCTTCATTTGCTTCATAATTGTGGACTTTCCAGACTCGCCGGTTCCGAGAAGAAGAAGTTTTATTTCCATTTCAGATATGATCCGATCTGCCTGCAGCTTCCTGTCGATCTTAGCGGACAACATCTTGGCTTCTTTTGAGTTGTATTCAGCGATCGATTTCCAGGGTGGCGAGGCTGTTTTTTTTGGCATCATTATGGGCTTCTGCGTACACGCATGATGATGCATGTCACTCTCCCCTTTACGATTATGGCAAACCTTACCAAAAAAAATATTAAAGAGCTTCTCAAAACACATCAATCAAATGCAACTATTAGACGGCCCAATCGCTATGGCTGCTTTCGGTGTAAAACAGAACAGGGCTCCAAATCGAGACTAAAGCCTTTGGCGTTTTAAACTGATATTTATTTTTTGTAGCCAATAGAATTTAGACGTGCAAAAAGCAATATTCTAATTTGACTTAGCAGATGGCTATACAAGCCAATGAGACATGCCAGGCAATCTAAAATAAATTTCTTTAATTAATTGCTTTTATTGTCCAAAAAGCCTTTTTTACGCTCAAATAAATAATGGTAAAAGCGATGTCTAAAATGGGCAATCTCCGGAGGGATTGCCAGAACCAGACAAAGCAGTCTTCTGATTTCCGAATCTACCTCTGTGCCCTGATCTCCGTTCAGGCGGATGTGAAGATCCTTGGCTGTCTTCCTAACGTCTTGGATTGTAGGACATTTGATAAGAAAATCATCAGTTAACGCTTGAATGATTTCTTTCTTTACAGGGACGTTCATGGCTGATAGTAAATCTAAAATAATAAGCGAGTTTTCCTCGTTTGTCGGGAAAGGTCTTCCACATGTCCTCTTTTCAAAGTCTCTTATAAACTGGCTCCAAATAGGCAAGAGCGATTGTAATTCTTCAAGAATCTCCAGATCGGAAAGAAATCGCTTGTGGTATACTTTGATATTGCTGCTGTCTCCGTGCTTCCCTTTTTGCAAATCTTTTCGCTTGAGGCCATTATAGCCGTGCAGCCATTTCTTGCTAATCTCAAAAACCTCGTTCATCCTCAGAAGAAGGAGATGGGAGCAAAGAAGAACGGCCACCGAGTGAAAGTGCAGCGTTTCAATTGAAATCAGCTCTCTAAAGTCAGCATAGAAGCGAGACATGGGTGCATGGAGCCCCGTTCGGATCATGAATACTTTAGTAAAGCAGGAAAAAAGTAGATCCCAAAGCAACGGAGGCGGGCTTTCTGGTCCTCCATTAGTAGAAAGCCTCTGTACGCTCTTTGCAGGCAATCCCAGCGCAAGCAAAATGTCTTTCTCGGCTACATTGTGTCTAGTCCGCCTCGTTGGTCCGAATGAAGGACCATTGCCAGTTGGATGGTGGTGGTGATGATCGTTGCCGGTCAGGACTACACTTTGCCATTCCTCACTTCCATAGTAATTTAAAAGCTCAGCAGCATCAAAATCGCCAATAAAGTTCAGATGTTTCTGAAACTGTGTGATGTACAAATTTTTTCCGCCTCCACCTCCAAGCCATTGTGTTTTTAGCTCCGGGTCGACCGATCTTAAAAGATTCAAAAGCTTTATAAAGGGTAGTTTGATGCCCACCATGGAGCGTGGAACGGCTTGATATAGCAGAGCTCGTATAAGCGATTGTCGATGAATGGGACTGTCACAAAGCAACTCTAGGGTTCGACTAGCATCAAGAAGATGGATCAGGGAAATTGGCGATTCGCCAAGCATAAGATCATGGTACCGATGTGTATTGGATACCCCTAATTGGTGATTATCAAATTTATGAGGCTCCTCCGTTTAGGAGGACTGGATTTCTGTTGCAAAAACTCTAAATACCTTCACAGCGCCAATACGAACATAGGGAGCAACGCTTCGCAGGTTTTCAAGCGGAGCGCTGGCAATGGTATCCGGCAACAGATGCTGTCCAAGCTCGAGTAGGAAGTCTTTCATTCCCTTCACGTCCTCTACATGTAAAAGAGCGTTGATTGTAAGCCGGGTCAGCCGTGAACAGAATCTCTCATCAGGAGGAATCCGAATAGGAGCACTGGGTTTCTTGTAGAGCAAATAGTAGTCGCCTAAAAGAGCAAGACCATACCAGTTATGAAAATACTCGCCCGCAAGCTCGATGATACGTCGAAACTTTCCGCTGCTTTGCAACTGCGAAAGATTCTGAAGAGCCACTGTTTTCGAAAGGACTGTGGACGACTCGCGAAGAGCTTTTTCGCTTTCAATTAATAACCTACTCAAACCCTCCGCATGGGAAGAATGTGGCGGGGTAACTAAAAGGGCTTGCTTCAAGACAACTTCCATCACTTGTGGAGTCAACAAGATGGATGGAATGAATTCCATGGCAGGAATCAATATTGAGGTCACAGCCTGGGCATTATAGGTTGCTCTTTTTAGGAGAAAAGATAAAATCGTATTGTCTATTTCGGCTAGTGAGATCGTGGCGAGAAAATTCCTCACTCGGGCAATGTGATTTTTCATAAAAGAGCTGCAAACTCCAGCTGAAATGTAATGTGTCCGAATATTTTCGGCTAGCTTTTCGGAACCTTTACACAAAAAGGGCAAATAAACGCTTCCCAAAACAGATTGTTTATCATTCAAAACGAGCACGCGAAGAATCTTCAATTTTTCTTCAATCGAGACCTCGCTAAATGGCCTCATCCTATCGTAAATATCCAAGGCGAAGCACGCAACTGCTGAAATTGATATGAAGCAGGACAAAGAATCGATGACCTTGCTACATGTCCCTATGGAGTTCATCTTTGATGCGTCTGAATAAAGTTGTAAGATGTTAAATAAGCGGACATAATTCGATTCATGCGTCTTTTGTAAATTGAGGGACTGGAATGCCGTATATGACGGATTTAAACTATTTTTTCTAGCTGATGAATAGATCCTCCGGGAAGCCCCGCCAGACACAGCTGAAATGGCCGTAAAAAGAGTCCAAGACTGGAGTAACGTGTGGTGGACTCCTATTAAATTCATTAAACAATTAATTTTTTATTGAAACGTTAAATATTGAAAAGCTGGTGCGCATGTATGGCACACACAGGCATCCTCAAAATGGTGGCTAGGCAGCAGGATTCCTTGAAATGAAGTTTACATTAATTATTAAAGCTATAGTTCCAGCTGCCACAAAAAGCACGGAATATATGCAGCTGAAAACAATGGCTTTTAGCAATCCAAAGATGGAGATGAGAGAAGAAGACGTCTCTCCGTATTGTATAAGCGAATTAGCATATGCAGTAGTACCAATGAAAAAGAGAAGAGGAACGATAATCAAAAAGGGAACAGTGGCAATATTTCCAGCTATCCTGGCAGTTAATGAATCTCCAACACCATTGCTTATGTCTGAGATCAGGCTCACGATGGCGGAAGGTCTATAGAGGCCGAGTTGCTTGGATATAAAGTAAGCGCTTGCTGAGATTCCGATGCCACTCATAATCGAAATTACAAGGTAGGATGAAAGGCGTGACAGTCCAAAGTTCCACCACAAGGCAAAGTAAAGAATTCCAATAGTACCAAGAGTCAACGACACCTGTGGCACCATCAAGGCCCCAGAGAGTTGTCTAAAAACCGCGGATGAAATAAAAGGGATGATACCCAAGATACCATGACTGCGCAACATTCTAGCATGTCTTAGCGCTCTTACCTTGTGAATTTTGTACGCAAAAAAGGATATAATAGCTACTGCTGTAATAGAACTACCTATAACGATCACATTCCTCACAAGGGGTTTTCTATCATCTGGTATCAGCGCTGGAAGGGGAAGCGAGTCTCTAATCGTATTTGAGACATTAAAAAAAGAAGATGTTCCGTTAGCCGCAAGTCCTACCACGTAAGATGTAGCATTTGACAGCGAAGATAGCGGTTTCATTTCTTGTAAGTCTCCGGTCTGAACAGCTGACTTTGTAGTCGTTGAGGCCAATGTTGAAGGGGATGAATCGATCGGGACATAAATATATAGGATAACCGCAATCACAGCAAAAGCAGCAAGCGAAATTACAGAAGCAAAGATGCGTTTAGATTTAGGTGTCATTTCAGTTAACAAACTTGAGAAAGCTAAAATTTAGACCATTTAATGAAGTATATTTACTAATAGGTGCGAATATTTTACATTGATTTTGATTGGACTAGGAGTCATTTTATGATGTTTCCTGAACCGATAATCCAATGGTATCGAACGGTGTACCCTGAATGTTCTGATCCTATTGCTTTGCTTATTAATGCCGTTTTATTTCGGCCACCTGCTCTTACGACAATCAGAGTAGATCTGAGCAAATACGTCTCGCTCAACTCAGCATTGGATGAAGTGCGTTCTGAGTTAAAATCCTTACATCAAAGCCTTGTCGATATGACAGATATTGGGGTTTCAGGCTTTATTTCCAAATTTGATGCATGGATTGATGCAGAGAAATTTCCAGAAGTGATTTTTATCTGCACCCGAACACCAGCTGCAGAGGTTCAATGTGATCTCCCAAATGTGATTGTCGATAAGCATACAGGTCAGGCTGTATGTAGGGGAGCTAATGTTTATGCCCCCGGAATTATTACGGCCGATAGTTTTTGCCGCTATAATTCACAAAGGAACCTGGTAAATGTGTTTGTAGAGAAAACATCTCATTTTTTAGTTGGAGAGCGGGTTCGTTCGCTGGAAAACTTGGTTTTCCTTGGCCTCGGTATCCCAGCTACTCCATCAAGAGAGGCTATTATGAAGCTAAAATTGGAAAAGACAAGAAATGGCGTTCCGGCTGTCCAAATGCTGACAGCTTTATTTCCCATAACATCTCGGTCTTCTCACTTTTATCTTCAGAATCTTCCTTCCATAGTTACCTCAAGAGTCCTCTTTAATGCATGCAAGCGACGGGATGGAAGGGTTTTAGATGCTTGTTCTGGCTACGGGGGTAAAACCAAACACCTATCTGAGTTATTCCCGAAAGCTCAAATAGTAGCTGTTGAGCATTCCCGTCCAAAAGTAGAGGCGTGCGAAAATCTACTTCAATCCTCAAATTGCACGAACATCACGGTTATCAAGGGAGATGTGGTCAAGTTATCTCAGGATCCGTTTGATGCAATTCTATTAGACCCTCCGTGTTCTGGAATTGGGCAGCGACCTATTTTTTCCTCCGAATCAATTGAAAATTCGTCTGCCCCATGGAGAGGCGAAAACTTTTCCTCATATCAGAAGCGTCTTTTGAAAAGTGTCTGTGACATGTTAATCGTTGGATCTCCACTTGTTTATTCTACATGCACGCTTTCTCCCGCTGAAAATGAAGAGGTCGTGTCCTGGGCACTTTCCAATCTACCGCTTTGTCTGGAAGAAATTTGCGTTCCACTTCAAGTAAGAAGAGGTATTCCAGAGCCTTACACTTCACTCTCTTTTGAGTATGCACAAAAGTGTGTTAGATTTGTCCCTGAAATTGATTATGACCCTAGTGAAAAGCACATGCTAATGATGGATTCTATTGCCTTCTTCATTGCATGTTTTATCAAAAGGGAGCCGTTGTAATCATTAAGAATCTGCATCTGTATGTGTATG